TAAAGCATGTCTTAGCAGCTTCTAAATTTTGGGTCAAATTTGCTTTGCTGGTAACCTTTTTAATAAACCATTACCTCTCTCCTCTATCTTCAGGTCAATTACCAAAAGCGGTCACAACACCTAAAATGTTAGTTAAGGCCTTGTTATGTGTTAATTTTAGGCAACTCCTGGAACTCTTTGCCCCTAGATTCTCTACACATTAATATTTAAAACTGGTTTTAAGTGCTTTTGAGGCACTCCACTCCAAGGCAGGTTTATTTCTGATCCGTGTTACCCAGTACATGTTACATTAATGTGTAGCCACTCTTGGCTGCATGTTACTGTGAACACCCCACCTGCTGGCCTGGATCAAGCCCCCTGTCCTCCACAGCAGTCCAGATCCCCACTCACTGCCCTTTCTCCCCTGCCCACCCCAATCACTTGTAGCTGGCCATGCTCTGTCCCCAGAGGAGCAGGCAGGGAAGGGTTAACCTGCCTGCCTGGCTGTCAGTGTTGCCATGGCTGCTGCTGCTTTCTGGGCCAGGCTCAGCCCAAAGAAGAGCAGCAGTCTAGCAGCAATGGAGGCCAGGCAGGCAGATTAATGTTTGTTTACCTGCTCTGCTGGGACAGACAGCATGGCCAGCTAAAAGTAAGCAGAAGGGTGGGCAGGGTTTTCCCCTCAACAAGCAAAGTGACGGGAGAACCTTTGGGGCAGGGAAGAAGCCAGGAATGGAAGGTGGGGAAGGATCCTTACCTTTCAGTCCACCAGGACCCTGCTGGCCTGAATATGTGACTCCTTCAAACTCAATCTAACACTAACATGAATCAATATTTGAGCAGCTTACAGTGTAACATGTAACAAGGCTCTTAGAAGGACTGCTAAATGTTTCTTACTGCATTTGGAAAAGGGAGGAACTCTGCAGCTTTACGAGATGCCAAACTTTACTCTCATCTAACTAAACATCACAGAGGGCAAAAGAAAGAAAAAGAGGATAAATTGAATTTTGGGTAAAACCAAGTCCATCGCTGCATCCTCAGGATTTAGGTAGTAAGATCCTGCATTTACAATGCATAAATAGTATTGGAATACAGTGAATAGGGCATCAAGATGGGTTTCATGTGAACTGGGTGCCATTTTCAGTTCTGCCACCGAGCATAAGGGTTTGGAAATTCACTGTACTGCTTTCAATTTCCTAATCTGTAACATGAGAATAAAGTGTCTTCATAAAGTGCTTTTAGATCAATAAATGAAAAGTGCTGTTTTCTAACTGTTGCTATTTTTTACTGTTGTATTCTATTACTTGGTGTAAATCATAAGGCTCTGGACAGGCATAACGTTTAGCTGCTTGGAAAGCTTAGGGAAGAGTTGCCACTGGAGAGCACACATCAGCTGTTACAATTGAGCTGCTTTGACTGCTTGTTCCTACAGTGCTATAAATAACAAGCTAAAGCTCTTTAGCTTTAACCCAGAATGAAATAGGGTTTAATTTAACCTTTGTTCCAGTCATCCACCTGAATGAAAAAGGATTAAAGTTACAGGGCATTTCTACATATGCTATTAATGTACAGCAAGGTTACTGCACATTAAAAAAAGGCACAGTAAACTGCCCCTGGGAAAGGGTCTACACATGCACTGGCTTGGAGCAATTTTTCTCCTGAGCAGAGCAGTTAAGACCAGGGATGTTCCTTCCCCCCTGCCCTGCTCTGCCCTGTTGCAGTAGCCAGGGGGAGATTCAGGCTCTCCTGGGTGCCAGGCCAGGGCTGGCAGGGGGCAGATGGCTAGTCCCAATCTCCACATAAGGGGTAAGAGCTGTCCTGGCAGCCAGGACTGCTCAGTCCCAGCCACATGGGGATCAGACCCAATCCCCACTTGGCTAGAAGAGGCATCCCCAGGAGGGTCCGGATCCCTACATGGCCAGGAGAGGCATCCTCACCTGGCACGGACAGCTATGTGGGGATCAGGACCCTTGTGGGGACGCCTCTCCCAGCCACATGGCGATCGGGACCCTCCCAATCCCCACAAGACTGCCAGGCAGCATCCTACCAAGCAAGGATGCTTCTCTTGGCCATGACAGGATCCAGGAGGTACTGATCTCCATGTGGTTGTCCCCTCCAGGTGGAGACATCTCTACCAGCCACATGGGGATTTGGACCCTCCTGATCCACATGTGGCTGCCAGGCAGCATCCGCACTGGGTGGGGACAACTCTCCCAGCCATGTGGGGGTCTGGAGGGTCCCAATCTCCACATGGCTGTCCCCTCCAGGTGGGGATACCTCTCCCCAACACATGGGGATCAGGGTCCTGACCCGATCCCCGTGTAGCTGGGATGCAGCAGTCTCAGCTGCCAGGACAGCTATTCCAGCCATATAGGGATCAGGATGGTCTCAATCCCCACATGGTGGGGAGACAGCTGCCCTTGCAGCCAGGACAGCTGCTTGCCACATGGGGCTTAGGCAGGCAGCAGTGGGCCCCCTGCTGCCTGGACTCACCAAGAACAAATTGTTCCTGGTTAGCATCTACATGTGCATTACTGTGCAGTTGCTAATGCACAGCTAATCTACTGTTTTCAGGTAGTATATAACTCCATATTAATCTATTTTACCTCACAGTAGCCTAGCACATAGTTACATAGCGACACTTTACTGTGCAGTAGATTAGTCTATTGCTCAGTAAAGCATCTCGCATAGGCGTACCCAGGGTGCCTTTGTTCCACTGACAATGCTATAGGGGGGATGCTGATGTAACAGTTACACAGATATTATTTGATACTGGTATAACTAATGTCCATAATATCTGTACACACAAATATGATCCTTTTTCATGTTCAAGACTTCATATGCAAACGTGCAGATGCAAATAATCAGGGGGTCGAGTCTACTTTGAAAATGCTGTTCTTCTATTCTAGCAGTGACAGATTTAAAACCATCTAGTCCATGCGTCCTATCACAGCAGGCTGACTGGAACTAAAACTTAATCTAAGTTATGGTTTGCTGTCAAAGTACAGGTTTTTGTGTCATCAAACAAAAGTTAAACACCAGTTAAACTTGAAACCTGCCTCATTTCAATGGATGAAAATGAGATGTAACTATCTTTAGATGGACAAAAAAAAATACTGGTATTTTTCTGACTCTGATTTGAAAGCTTACACAATACTACCAGTCCCCAGGGAGACTGTACTGCCCCATGTAATTATATTTTTTCTTGTTTCAGAGACTGTATGGTTTCAAACACAGCTTATTTGTTTCTTGCCTTATTTCAGGGAATCTTCATCTTTTTCCTGGTGAAATATAAGCCTTTGAAATACAACAATGTATATACCTACCCTGACTGGGGCTATGGGATAGGGTGGATGATGGCCCTCTCGTCCATGGTTTGTATTCCTTTGTGGATCTGCATTAAGTTATGGAAGATGGAAGGAACCATTCTAGAGGTGAGATATAAAACAGCAGCTGTTTCAAAAACGTAAAAGGGGGCTAGGGAGCATGAATCCTTCTTTTCAAGGGATTAAGTCCAGCAGAGCCAAAAAGGAACAAGTAGTAGCTTAGCTGGACATCCTTGCTGCAGAGCTTTTCTGAGAAAAAGTCCAATCTGTATTTCATATTTATACTGTTTGATAAAGCATCTGCCAAATTTCCAGTCTGTTTTCAGGGTGATGTTTGGTTCTAGGAAGATTGTATCCTTAGTACCACTTACCTCTATGAGGTATTTGCAGTGCTTGATGCCTTTTGCAACCTTGATGATACAGATAAGCCAAACAAAGCCGAAACACAAATAGAGGAAGCCTGTGTTTCTTTGTCCCTCTTTTATTGAGTATCTTGGTGGGGAGCTTTGCAGGCTCTTTGGGCAGAAATTAGTTTCCATCACAACCCAAACCAATCCCAAAACAGGTTTGGAGAAGCCAGGTCTAAGCATAGCTTAGGTTGGCTGGACACATCTCAGCCCTCCTCCTTTGGCAACAAAGATGACAGACAGAACTAGAAAAGACAGAACCAGAACTAGTGGTATACTTCACCCAATTTTCCGGGGTTGGCATGAAGTCAGATGGGCAGCAAGCCAGATGGAAAATCTTGCCTAGATCCTTTTAGCCCAAGGTACCACCATCCTCTGACGTGGGAGCTCACTCTCCACATCCTGGAAGGCCATGCAAGGGGGAAACCAGAAAGAGGAGAGATACTACCAAGGCAAGAGGGAGGTTCAGCTCCCTTCCCCTGCTTTGATCTCAGTATTTCCTTTAAATATGAACTAGTCTATCTTTTTATTTTACAAGAAAAGTCTTACTGAACTTGATGTCCTGAATATGATGTACCTGGCAACCTTGACTCTAAGTTCACTAACTCTTTTGTCAGTGAATCTACTTTACTTTGAAGCACTATGTCCTACTCACCATTGTATGTATAGGATCAGGGGTCAGGGTACTGTCTGAAACATCAGATGAATTCCTAATAGAGGCTTGTCATCCAAGCAGTCCCATTTTGCAATGCTTAGTCAGCTTTTCTGTTCTATAGATGAATGGCAGAATTCTTCTGTTTCCAAGTTGATATCATTACCATTTAATATTATGTGTGTTCCCAGGGTCTTTCTTCATGATCTTGGCAACAATAATATTGGCTTTAGGGAAGAAATAAATTTGCCCATCCCTTCCTGGACAATTTTTCTGACCAGAGGGTGCATCTACACAAGACACTACATCGCCATAGTGATAAGCTATTGCAACGTAGCTCATTACTATGGCAACATAGCTCATTGCTATGGCAACGTAGCATCGACAGGTACTAACCATGACATCACTAGTTGCTACTGCACACTAGGATAAAAAATGACACACGTACCGCAGGGACCACATAGTTCTGGTGGGGACTGTGCAGTTATTTAGTACTTGCTTTATTGGTGGGGACTGTGCAGTATGGGGCATGTGTAGACAAACCCAGAGAGAGTGTGAAGTAGACACAAAGAATGTTATAGTTCCTGCACACATCCAGGACAGGCAGAGGCATACAGTGCTAGGAAAATCATGCATAAGCCTGAGTTGAAATGGACATTTTTAGATACAAAGTTTAATCTCACAAGAACATTAATATTTATCTCAGAGGGTAAAGATGGTCATAGTGGTATATAAATGATGTCAGAAGAAAAAGAAACTGATCCTTATGGAGGACCACTGGGAATTCTGATCTCATAGGCTGTGTGTAGATTAAATGAGAGGCATGTGTGCATGACACTTTAAAGCAGGCTAAATGCTTTTGCACCACTAAAATTTGGTGGCATAATGCACCTTAAATGACTTGGGGCGCAGCAAACTAAAACTCCTTCAAGGAGTTTTAATTTGCTGCCCCTACAGCTGTGGAGCGAAGCACCGGGCTCCATGCAGCAACATGGCTTTGCAGGAAGCCCTGGAGGCAGCTTGCTGGGAAAGCAGGCTTCGCCCAAGAAAAGCATCAAGCCTGATCTTTTTTTTTATCCCCCACTGGAGCCTGCCTGAGCTGCATGGGGGCCCGATGCTTCCCTCCGTGGCTGCGGTGGCTCCCGGGACTGCTCGAGCCAGGTGCCTGTGGGTGGGTGCCTCCGGGGGGGGCACCGCTGCCAAAGAGGGAAACACCAGCTTCCCCCCCCCCCCCCCCGGGGCCCCCCCCACCCCCCCGCCGCAGCTCTCCGGCCCCGCCCGGGTGCTTCTCCTCCCCAATGGAGAGGCAAGTAAGTTAGTGGGGTATGTGCATGACATGGTGGGGTTAATCAGCCCTAAACTGAAGCAGTATTTTTTAAAACCCACCGCTTCAACTTTAGGCCCCTGTTTCATTTACACACACCCATACACAAGCATACTCATATTTCATATAGTATCCAGATACCTATTCTGGATATCTGCTCCACATCATATTCCATCTTGTGTATTCAGAAATATCTAACTGCAGTAACATATTTTCCATTTCCACCACAGGTGAAAGCAGTAATATGTTTTCCCCCCAAAGGTCATCTGAATTCAATTCAGATTACTAGAGAGAACACAATATTCACCATAATGAGTCATTAAGATCCAACAGCACTTGCTTCTTCGTGGGTAACAGACTTTTTCTGGACCTGACAGGCATATCTGTTAGGATTTTATAATAATGCAATAACTTGACAAGCCGTATTCAAGAAATGAATTCTCTTGTTCTGGTGAAGCAAAGTTCCCTCCTTCTGCATGTTCAGTACATCAAGGAAGAAATGAATACCATAACCTATGCAGTAGAAGTGAAATTGATGAAGTGGCTGTTGCATCTAGAAATAGTGCATCCGTACTACAGCAGTTTGGCAGGCATCTGGAGAAAGCACATAAAGTGTCTCTCAGCTTTGGATTGTTGGGACGCAGGATGTTAGGGAGTAAGTGATCTGGTTATACATCTCTCTTTTCTGTTGCTCTGCAGAACAAAGCAGAAGACAGAGACAAGAGAGTAACTGTAACAATGCTTCTGACTCTAGATGAAGAGGTGGTGGCTGTCAAACTTGGTTTATTTGATTTGGATATTCAGATGCATCTATCTCAGAAAAGATCTTCACTGTTATATAACCATCCTCCACCCAACACGAGACAGGATTAAAATATGTGTTTGAATGAAGCAATTATTGCTCTCATGAGTAGAGAAGCCAAGAATCAAGAAATAGAATTTGTTTTGCAGACTGATGCAAAGTCCACAATTTAGTACCCAAGTTGAGTTGGTGTTGCATAACTTTGAATTCCCCTCAGAAGGCTTTATTTTGGATCTATATGAAAGGGGAAAAAGTCATATATCACTAATATGGTGTTCTCAGTATTTGTACAAGAATGTGTTTTGTACAAATCGCAACATTTTAAGGCACCAAGCTTATTCCAGGCCTGTAAGGTTTTAAAAAAACCCAACTTATTCTCTTCCTTCCCTCACTCCCTAAACCAGATAGCATCATACTTCTAATTCAGAGGTAGTCCCCACAGCTGTCGTAGTAGAAGTCTCTCCTATATCTTAATGCCCAGAGAAAGAGAAAGGGAGATATTTATATATAATCTATCTCATTTTGCATGTCCATATTTGCGGAGTGATTCCACTTTCTCCCACACTCCCTTGGGGGCCCATTGCTATGCAAATCCAATTGTAACAGATCTGTGGGTCTTAACATGAAGAAGCAGATAATGTATTTGAACACCTTCTTTTTCTCCAAGAAAGCCCACAAATCCAGCTCACCTGCAGAAAATGGGCCATGGGACATGATCTAGAATAGACATGGAAGCTGTTATGTCCCTTAGGTGGAATTTTCCTTGCTCTGCAGTAGAATAGTTTTCCTCAAAGTATCTTTAACAAAATCTGTAAATTAAGAAAACAAATAGGAATTATCCTGGCTTTGGAAATTACCTCAACTAGAAGGAACTTCAGGAGGCTGGACATACCGATGCTGCCATTGACTGACAGTTTTGGGTCTGTCCCTGTGGAGAAACATATCTATGGGTCTTATTTCTTGAAGACAGGAAATTTTCAGATGAGCATGAATATAGTTTTCACAATATAGTCAGATACTCATAGAAAGCCTTTGCATATCTGAACTAGTACTTTTCTCACTTCAGATTTTTGGATACTTCAATGGAGAAGAAATTGATCTATATAAGTGGGATGTATATGGAACAAGGTTATTGTACTGACCACTTCGTACAGGGTTGAATATCACCCTGTTTTATTCATGAAATTAACCTTTGGCCAAATCAGAAAGTTTTCCTCTTTACCTTCAATCCCTGGACTGAAATGCTAAGAAAATTAAATATTCTACGTAGTTTGTTTTATTGATTAAAGGTTTGTATCAGTAGCTAATGAAAGGAAATAGGCATAAAGAGACAAGGGAGTTCATAGATAATCCTACTAAGAAGATATGTTATTGATGCTGGCTGTGTTTGTAAGTATGTGTGAGGCAGAAAGAGACATAATGTCTTCCATTTTTTCTGATTTTTCAGAAATTCAGGAAACTGATTGTACCTAGCCCAGATCTGAAAATGAGAGGGAAGCTTGGTGCGGGAGCATATGCTGCTACAGTAAATGATTGTGATGCCAAACTGAAAGGTGATGGCAACATTTCAGCCATCACAGAGAAGGAGACGCATTTCTGAAAGAACTATCTTTTTTGTTTTATTTTTTGTATAAATAAATAAATAAAAATACTTCACTTAATTATAGAGGCTGGCTTGTTTTGCACAAAATTTATTAACCGGTTAATTTTAAAGTGAACATTGTATACTTGTTAAAAAGTGATTTTTTTAATTATTATATAAGTAACGATTATATAAAAGAAAAAAGAAATAATATTGTATTGTATGTTAGTGCTGACTTCTTGTAATATGGTGATTTCACTAAATGTTTTATAGACACTAGAGGAACCTGTATAATGTGTTGTAAAACTTTTCTACTTGGGTTTTTGAAAGGCATGGTGTTGTATAGGTATATGCATTTTAACCTGTAAACATTTCAGACCATTTCAGCTTTTAATGTATGTATATAAAAGGGACCACAGCATTCTTTTGTTTATATTGGAGGGAGTTTTTGGAGGGCTTGTTACTCTGCTATCTCACAATTCTATCAGAATGTGGGCTTGATCCAAGGCCTATTTAAATTAATGCGAAGGAAGCTTTGACTTCAATGGGCTTTGGGATCATGCTGTTTTGTCAAGATAAAGTTACACGTTTTGTTTAGACCATACTAAGGACACTTAAAACAAGAGTGTCTGCACTTTAAAGCTTGTTGACTCATGCTGGGTGCCTTCTGAGTGTCTCAGTATTGTACCACTTTAAGTGAAGGTTAACTCTGGGCCACGGTACGTACCTAGCTTGTGTTAGCGTAATTTCAGTCTGCTCCATGGAGATAAAATGAGCAATTTGCTGTCCTCCAGCATTCCAGAATACACTGTTCCCAGGCCGCCTCTACCCAAAGCAGGGATAAAGCCTGGTTGTCCTGGCTCCTAGCCACTCCCCTACTCACTAGCCCTGTACTGGTAAATCAGAGCAGTGCAGGAAAGAAACAGTATTAACCCTTACTTGCATCTACACACAGCACATTTTAACTTTGACACCACTTAATATTCCTCAGATTTAGTACGGTCTAAGTGTAACGTGTAACTTCACCTTTAATCAAACTGTGACCCAGAACCCTGCATTCCTTTTGCCTGAGTTAGGAATTCTGTAGGGTTAGGTTTTATAGCTAGCAAAGTACTGCCTGTGGGGGGTGAGTGCTCTATCTGGAGGCTAAAGGAATACCACCTCATTTAGTTCTCCCCCATTTACTCCTGAGCTACTTCCAACAGACAGGTATAAACATGTGGTGGAATGGGCCCACCTATTAATGACTATTTTCCTGAAGACAATATAGAGAATATTTTTAAGAGCTATTATATTTTTGTTGTATTTGTGAACTGGATAGTCTCTAAATTTGCAAATATTGCTTCATGGGAGTGTTAAAGCAATTTAATTTGTTCTTGTCTCTGATTGGCCAGCACTTTGGATTTAGGGAATGGAAAACGGAATATAATGTGTTTTTACTTGTAAAACTGAAAGAGTCTGAGAGTAGTCTTCTAGTTTTCTTAGATGGAGAGGTTTTGAAGAGAAATGGAACACATTTAGAACTCTAAAATATATTTATAAACCCCTCACTGGAAATCCAGAATGCAATAATGACAATAGATAACACTTACATCTACTGTCTACCTTCAAGCCCATTATTAACTACTGTCAAATTAAGCCATTATGCTGCTGCTCTTAGTGGAGTCAGATTCTCACTGATGCTAAAATGGCAGTTTTGCTTGTTGAAGGAATGCAGTGTTTGGCTCCTGATCTACACATGAACCCCATGAGGTAAGGTAAATAGGATATATTGTACAGATAGAGAAACTGAGGAGAAAGAGGTGTCTTACCCAAGTGCTACAAAGGGAGTAGGATCTGGGTTTTGAAATCATGGATTTGTTTATTCCAGCAGTTGTACAAACCTACTCTCTGACTTAAGCAGAGATTATTTTTGTGATGCTATCTGAAGGAAGGCTGGTATTTTAGGGTCATTTACTAATTATCAGGCACAAGACCTGCCAATATCCCAAGCCCCAGTGCTGTTAGCTCTGAACATTATCTTTTTCCTTTCTTCTTAAACTGACAGGATATATATGACCCAAAGCCTAGGCATGTGGGGGGAATAAGTTTACAGCACTGTATAAACTCTCCTAACCAAAATAACCTGCAAACAGTGGCAAAACAGAGCCTTGGAGCATTGCTGCAGAACTGTCTCTTCAGGTAGGTTGAAAAGCACCTCAAATGGCCAATACCAGGAACAAGATTAGGAAAGGCTCAACTGGGCTGGAAGTGCTACTTAATGCTGGCCCTCTGCACAGGGATAGATTTCACCAATAGATTCTGGTATATCTTAATATTACACAGAGATGTATCATATATTTGACAAATAAATGGGGTTTAAAATAATTTGCACAGCCACTATAAAATATTCTTCAGTAGTATCACAGCCTCAAGCCAAATTATGGAATGTATTTTATGTTTTTGGTGAAGGGGGAATGGAAAGCCAAGAGAGGAAGGGTCTTACACCAACCTAAAATTGTAGTGGCTTTGGATACCTTATTTTTTGCTTGCTCAAAAAAAGATATCTTGCAAGAGCTTGATTTCCAGAGATTGCTGAGCATCCACCTTTTGAAAACTGTGTCTCTTCAAAATAGTCTTCAATTGGGCATCCAAAACTGGAAGTACCCAAAATATCTAGTCATTTTTGAAAGCCATGATATTTTTTTGGAGAGAAATGTCACAAGTATTAGAACTGCATCTGAGTATATAACTGAAAAAACCATTGGGAGATAACTCCATCCTACATCCTAAAGTTGGAAAAAAAGTAGAAATAAAGTTTAGAAATTTGCACATCTTTGCAGTTCTAGCAGTTCATTTTATACACATCAGTCCAGATTCTATTCCACCTACTCCACATAAATAGATTTAGGTAGTCCTGTTCCATCTTGTTCAAGTCCCTTAAAAGTTTATTAATACAGAAAGTGAAATGCGTATCTTTCTTATCCTTGCTGATTTTGTATCACTCAATTTTAAGGGTAAGATGAAACTGCATTAGCAAAATAGATGAAATATGAATTTTTCAGTGACTTGAGCAGGGTAGAGTAGAACTGCACTTAGGCACCCAAATCCATTTATATATCCAATAGGTGGAATATAATCTGGCTTTCTATACCTAATATACCTTTCTAGTCTTCATTCTTGGTCCCCCAGCTGACAGGCCCAAACCTCTAGGTCACTAAAATATAGTTGCCTAAGAAGGCAGACAGTGCAATTATTTCTTTTGACTTCAGTTGAGCTATCCAAGGAGTCGAGAATAGTCACGAGTTTACATGAGTGAATTACAGTGTGCCAATTTGCAATATAGCCAACATACTAACTGGCCATCCATTTGAAACATGATGATAATCCCAGACAACTATGATTTAGCTTTTAATCCAAGCAAATATTGCTGTTGTTGAAAAGGGCAATTCATTTCGCTTATCAGTCCACTTTGGACTGTCATACTCATCCAAATATCTCAACAGGAACTATGTACTATGAATGGAACATGCTTCCTGCTCTGCTGCTATGAACCATTTCACCAATAGCTTTATACACATACATATGGTTCGGCATGGTCTAAAGCATTATACAGTGTTACTAATGTGCTGTACTTGTAAATGTGTGCATTTAATACCTGACCCGATAACACTTTACTGATATTTTTAAAGATTTTTTTTTTTGTGGGGAGGGAAAGGGAAAGGGACAAATTTACTACTAGTGTTTGTGAGGTTTTTTTTTTTAAACAAAATGTGAAAGGGGAACAAAAAACAATTATGTCTTTGTGATGACTCTTTTTGATATGCAGTAGAAACAATATTGCCCTCTTCTGAGGTATTTGAACATTATTAAAAATAAAATATGACAGCAACAAAAAACAACCACTAAGGTTTATGTAATGTTTTGCACAATGTTTTTATTTGGTATTCAAGGGCACAAGATTTTTGTCTGCTTACTCATTTTTAAAATTAAAGAAAACGTGCAAAACTGTGTATTGTGTATCTGTGTGACTCTAATTAGCATGGACATTAAGGGGATTTATGCTCACGTCACTCCTGGAAGGTTAGGTATGTACCATCCTCATTTTATAGAATGGGGAAATGAGATGGATTAAACATGGATTAAGTGACATGTCCACGGTAACCAAGGAAACCCATGGCTGAGACAGGCATTGAACTCCGGTCTCCTGAGTCCTTGTCTACTGCTTAATCTACCCAATCATCTTTCTGCTGTCATATAACTGGGTTTATTCACAGAATATTTTCTGTGCTATTGTTTTATATAGCCATAGAAATGCTTATTGAGTACAAACTAACTATATGTTGTGCTAATGAAAAGTTCTGCTATCCTAACTTGAGGCAGTTCTACTACCAAGTAAAATAAACAGATCCCTTAAAGCAGATATTATCAACTTTATAAATGAGGCACAGGCACATTATATAAAATGTATGCTGTGATTACTGTCAGAGTTTACCAACCCCATTCCAATTGCAGTACCCAATGGCAGAAATAACTCAAGAAAACAATGCTTCCCATCCTTTCAGGTTAATACACAAAAATCATAAATAATCTGTCAAAATTGACATCAAACCTGAGTGCAAACCCAGGATTTATACTGGCATTGCTAAACCATAGCAATTAGTGATGGGCAGGTTTCAAAAGAGTCAGAGATTTGGGTTGGATGGGGAAACTGCCCATTGATTCAGAGTATTATCCAAATGTTATGCTCGCCCCGCCCCCTGGTCTCCATCCTGGGACCAGAAGTCCCACCCCTAACATCTGACCTTTGCCACTGGAAGTCCCTTCCTTTGCCCCCTGGAAATACTCTTTTTGGGAGGGGAGGTTTGCCATCTTAGAACCAGAAGAAACTAAATCATACCCTACAAGTCAAACAGCTACTATATTTTAATTTTATTAAAAAAAATATTTTTGTCATGATTTGTGGTTGTGTACTATATAGAGAGGTGATTGCATAATAACTCAAAAACTTAAAAATAAATTCTTAGTCTTTTATATTG